TGTATGCCTGAAGGCCAGAAGAGGGCGCCAGACCTCTTTACAGATGGTTGTGAGCCACCATGTGGTTGCTGGGAATTGAACTCAGGACCTTTGGAAGAGCAGGCAATGCTCTTAACCACCGAGCCATCTCTCCAGCCCTCCTTCTTACTTTTTGAACAGCGTTTCTTGCTGAACCTAGAGCTGGCTGATTTGACTAGACAGGCTGGCCAGAAGACCCAGGTGTCTTCCTGTCTCTGCACCCTCAGCCCTAGGGTTAAGGTGCACGATCACATCCATCTTTTCACATGGGTGCTGGGTTCTGGTCTCAGGTTCTCAAGCTTGCATGGTAACCCTTTACTGACGGGTCGTCCCCAGTTGTCCAGCCTTCTAAACAAGAGTGAGGAGGAAGGCTACCTGCTGGACACTGCCTGAGACCCACTGTGGTACTGAGAGCCTGAGGAGGGGAACCCCTGCCTGCAGTGCCTCCCAAAACTGCCAGTGTGGCTTCCATTTGGACCACTTTCCAGAGGCTGTCAGCTGTCACCCATTGGGAGTGCAGAACCCTGGGGTGACTGCAGCCCATCTTTGAAAGACTGGGTGAAACCTGCTCACTCTCAGCGCCTGCCAATAGCAGGTGGCTTTTTAATTAGCGCCATGAGCGCTGCAAATAGTTGCCAATGACGAGATGAGTGGCGGTCAAGACCAACGGGGCAGCACAGAACAGGCTCAGGCATTCCTGCTCTGTATGAACAAGAGTGGCATTCAAGACCAACGGGGCAGCACAGAACAGGCTCAGGCATTCCTGCTCTGTATGAACAAGAGTGGCATTCAAGACTAACGGGGCAGCACAGAACAGGCTCAGGCGTTCCTGCTCTGTATGAACAGGAGGAAGAACCCAGGGAGTCCCAGGACAATTTATTTTTAAAGATTTATTTATTTTATGTGCATTGGTGTTTTTCCTGCATGTATGTCTGTGCAAGGGAGCTAAGTGAGGAGGTGCACTAATGAGCAATGGAGCCCAGGAGTTCGAGTCCAGCGTGGGTAATGCAGGGAAATTCTCCTCTCAAATGAAAAACAAGTCAGAGATGATGCTGCACTCCTGAGGCCTAGGCCAGAGAGCCTTGAGCTCTCAGAGTTGGTTGGCTTTTGCTGGGGGGAAGGGTTCTATTGTTGCTTTGTTTGCTTTTTTTTGTTTGTTTGTTTGGTTTGGTTTTTTCTTTTTTTTTTTTTTTAAATATTTATTATGTAAATATTCTGATGGCCAGAAGAGGGAGCCAGATCTTTACAGATGGTTGTGAGCCACCATGTGGTTGACTGGGAATTGAACTCAGGACCTTTGGAAGAGTAGGCAATGCTCTTAACCACTAAGCCATCTCTCCGGCCCCTTGGTTTTGATTTTTCAAGACAGGGCTTTTCTGTGTAACCACCCTGGCTGTCCTGGAAATCACTTTGTAGACCAAGCTGGCCTCAAACTCACAGGAAAGCTCCTGAATGCTAGGACTAAAGGCATGTACCACCAAGCCCAGCTGAGTTTTGCCTTAAAAACAAAAATTTTAGCTGGGAGATGGTGGCGCATGCCTTTAATCCCAGCACTCGGGAGGCAGAGGCAGGCGGATCTCTGTGAGTTTGAGACCAGCCTGGTCTACAAGCGCTAGTTCCAGGACAGGCTCCAAAACCACAGAGAAACCCTGTCTCGAAAAACAAAAAAAAAAAAAAAAAAAAAAAAAAAAAAAAAGAAAGAAAGAAAAGAAAAGAAAAAAGAAGAGATCTAAAAAAAAAAAAACCAAACATAAATTTTTAAAAAAAGATTTATTTATTTTATATGTATGGGTATTTTGCCTGCATTTATATTATATATGCTCCCCAGAAAAGACAGTCATGAGCCTCCATATGGGTGTTGGGAATCAAACCCTAGAGGGGGAATTGAACACCAGCAGAACAGCCTCCGCTCCCAACCGCCTAGCCATTTCTCCAGGCCCTGGTGTTTGCCTTTTTGAGGCAGGATCTTGCGTAGCTCAGGCTGGCCTCAGATTCCCTATACAGCTGAGCACGAGTGTGAACTTCTGATCCTCCTGCCTCTGCTTCCCCACACGGATTACAAGTGTGTACCATACCACCATGCCTGGTTTACGTGGTTCTGGGATAGAACCCAAGGTTTTGTGCATGCCAGTCAAGCATTCTGAGCTACATCCCCAATCCCAAGACTATTGAAGGAAGGGAAGGAGGGAGGGAGGGAGGGAGGGAGGGAGGGAGGGAGGAAGGAAGGAAGGAAGGAAGGAAGGAAAAGGAAGGAAACAGGAAGAGACAAGCAGGGTGCTATATTCCTGTAATCCCAGCACTTCAGAGGTTGAGGCAGAAGGATCAGGAACTCAAGCTTTGACTAAATCCTGTCTTTTATATTTAATTGATATTAAAAATGTTACTGATAGGGACCAGAGATGTAGCTCATTGACAGAGCGCTTGTCCGGCGTGTATGAGAAGGCCTTGGGCTCCATGTATAGCTGCGGAGAAAAAACTAATATTGAGGGGGTTAGAGAGATGGCTCAGCTGTTAAGAGCGCTTGGCTGTTCTTCCAGAAAATCTGGGTTCAATTCCTAGCAACTATGTGGTGACTCACAACCATCTCTAACTCCATTTCCAGAGGTCTGATGCCCTCTTCTGGCCTCTATGGGCATCAGGCATGCAAGTGACACAGATGTAGATGCAAGCAAAATGGCCATACACACAAAATAAAATAAAAACTATTTGAGTTTGTTTTAGAATCTCACTATGTAGCCCTGGCTGGTCTAGAACTCAGTGTGTAGACCAGAATGGCCTCCAACTCATTGAGATCCACCTGCCTCTGCCTCCCCCAAACGCAAGGATTAAAGCCATGCATGATCACACCCAACAAGATTTGTTTTATTTTTAATAATGTGTGTATGTGTCTGTGTGTAGATGGATGTGTCTGTATGTATGTACATGTCTGTGTATAGATGTATGTGTCAGGTGTATGTATGTGTCTGTGTGTAAGTATACGCACATGTGCATAGGTTCCCTCAGAGGGCCAAAGATGGTATTGGATCTCTAGGAGCTGGAATCACAGGTGGTTGTGAGCCACCAAATATGGGGCCTGGGAACTGATCTTGGGTCTTCTGCAGGAGCAGTGTGTGCTACTAACCACTGAGTCAATATTGCCAGTTTCTAAAGGCATTTTCTTTTCTTTCTTTCTTTTCTTTCTGGGGAGGGGCAGGCTTCAAGCCTGGCCTGGCTATCCTGGAACTCTCTCTGTAGACAAGGCTGGCCTGGAACTCATGGAGATCTGCCTGCCTCTGCCTCCCGAGTCCTGGGATTAAAGGAGTGTGCCATCACTGCCCAGCTTTAAATAATTTTTTTAATATTTATTTTATGTATATGGGTGTTTTTGTCTGCATGCGTGTCCTTGCACCACATGCATTTAATGGCCACAGAGACCAGAAGAAGGTGTCCAATCCCCTGGAACTGGAGTTATAGACAGTCAAGAGTTGCCATGTGGGTGCTGGGAATCGAACCTAGGTCCTATACAAGAGCAGCCAGCACTCTCAACCACTGGGACACCTTGAAAGCAAGGGTGTTTTAGACCCATCTTACAGATGAATAAAGCAAAGCCCAGAAGTATCGACCTTCTCAAGCAACACAGAGGTAGCAGTTCCAGCACCCCCAAGATCTCCTGCTTGGAGATTCCCCTCCTCCACAGGCTGAGCCCTCACAACTTTTCTCTCCCCGGAACTGCCCAACCCAAGGCAGCCCTGACTAAACCCTACTGAGGCCTGGATGCAAAGGTTCATTTTTGTCTCGATTAGAACCAGTGTCCCTGCAGGTTCAGCCTCCTGCCTCGCTTTCTGCTTCTTCCCAGCCCTGCCTTCACCACGGGCTTGAGTGCCTCTCCTAAGGGACACTGTGTTCACAGGAACTCAGGACCACAAGCCTCCACACAACCTCCAACACCCTGACCCAGAGACTCCTCCCTCCTCCACAGGCAGGGAACAGCTGCAGTCTGCAACTTCTGCCTGGTCAGAGGGAGGAGCGTTATCTGCGGGACCCGGGACAGGCGGTTCCCACGTGGACAGCACTCTCATCCCACATGCTTGCCAGACGCTGAGTGACCTCTGCCCTGCTGACCATGGAGCCTTTAGAAGCTCAGAAGTGACTTCTAGGGGGGCACAGCAGTGGGTGAGCTGCCTGCACTTGGGGGAGACACACACACACACACTCACACACACACACACACTCACACACACGAAACCATCAGTAAGAATATAACATTGTCATGACATTTGAGGAGCCGCTTAAGGAATAGGATGTTTTTGTTTGCTTTGTTCATTCCATAGTCTCCCTATTTAGCCCCAGACTGGCCTCAAACTCTCCATCCTCCTGCCTCAGTCTGGAATTACAAGCCTGCACCATCAAGGCCCAAAGAAAAGGTCAAGAATCTTCCAGAGGGGCTGGAGAGATGGCTCAGTGGTTAAGAGCATTGCCTGCTCTTCCAAAGGTCCTGAGTTCAATTCCCAGCAACCACATGGTGGCTCACAACCATCTGAAATGAGATCTGATGCCCTCTTCTGGCCTGCAGGCAGACACACAGACAGACTATTGTATACATAATAATTAATTAATTGATTAAAAAAAAAGAATCTTCCAGAAACTTTAGTCACGCTGGGGATCTGGGACACTTTCAACCAACCACCTTGGCAGCTGGACACCATCTCCTCAAGCCACCACCCCATGCCCAGATGTCCTGGATCCACTCAGGTCCCCTGGGCTGCCACTGTCAGCCTCTCAAAGCATGAGCTGGCCTTGGGTGGATTCTGAGGCTGACCACAAAGGCAGCTCAGTCCTTACTGAATCCTGCCGCCTGGCAGTCTGAGGGTTAATAACTAAAAACCTATTTACTAGTCCTGACCTCTGTCCTGCACAGCCTGTAGCCACCTGACCTTTGCCTCCCAGGTCCTTCCGGGTAAATTCTGTACAGTTTTGTTTTTTTTTCTCACAGTCGAAAGAGCTTTGGGAATGTGCCCTGACTGGAATTTAACTCTACTGGAGAGAGAGAAAACATAAAGAGGTTAAAGAAAGTGGTTTGGGGGAGGGGGGTGATTTGGATCTCCAGAGCCAGGGTCTTCTCAGCACTCAGGAGACAGAGGCAGGTGGATCTCTCTGAGCTCGAGGCCAGCCTGGTCTACAGAGTAAGTTCCAGAACAGCCAGGGCTGTTACACAGAGAAACGTTGCCTTCAAAAAATATAAAATAAAAAAGAGGGTCCTCCCCAACTCCCTTTGATGATCCCCTTGGATTGCAGCTCAGAATCTCTGGGGATGGAGGAAGCAAGGAGGAAAACCCAATGGGACATCACCGCTGGCTTCCAAGGCCACTCTGATCTTTCCTCAGAGTTCCCAACTCCAGGCTGCCCCGGGGACCCAAGCGTCCCTCCCTTCTCTCCCAGACACACCATTTTATTCATTTGTTTGGGTTTTTTTGGTTTTGTTTGTTTGTATGGTTTTGGTTTTTCAAGACAGGGTTTCTCTATAGCTATGAAGCCAATCCTGGAACTAGCTCTGAAGACCAGGCTGGCCTCGAACTCACAGAGATCTGCCTACCTCTGCCTCTCGAGTGTTGGGACTAAAGGCATGTGCCACCACCACCTGGCTTATTTTGTTTTATTAATAAGAGGATTTATTCAAATGATTTTTTATTTGCTTATGTGTACAGTACCTACATCAACACAGCGGCCAGAAGAGGGCATCAGACCCCCTTGGAGACAGAGCTATAGACAGTGTGAGCTGTCGTGTAAGTACAGGGAACTGAACCCGAGTCTTCTGGAGGGCAGCCCATCCTGGATAGCCGTCTCTCCAGCAAACTTTTTTCAACCAGGAGCTAAACCCAGGGTAGGCAAAAGCTCTGCCGTTAGGCTCCCCTCTAGCTCTCATGAGCAGCTTCTCTGTTTTGGTTTTGGAGTGCTGGGCGTGGAACCCAGACCATTGCCCACGCGGAACAAGTGCTTGCTTACTCAGCTGTGGGCCTCACTCCCCTTCCTGTGGGTTTTGTTTTTGAGATAAGGTCTTGCTATGTAGTGTAGGGTGGTCTCAAAATTACCATTCTCCTGCCTCAGCCTCTAGAGTACTGAGGTTTACAGGAACATACTACCACACTAGACGACTTTATAATTTTATTATATTAGTATTATTTTGTTTTGTTTCTCAAAACAGGGCTTCTTTGTGTAGCCCTGGCTGTCCTGGAACTCATTTTGTAGACCAGGCTGGACTCGAACTTACAGAGATCCACCTAATCTGCTTCCTGAGTGCTGGATTAAAGGCATGCTCCACCAACACCCGGCCAGGTTTATAAATTTATATACTGCTTTTTCTCAATCACCTTCAGCTCAAAATAATCCTGTCAGACTGGCGTGTTTTGGAGTGGCCCATTCCATTCACCTCCACCACAGTCTCGGCTTTATCTTCTCAGCAGGTTGTGTTGATGAGATTTGGGGAGCTGCTTTGAGACTGTTTCTATTTTGTTTGAAAAGGGAATGCATTTGACTGATTTGTCTGCTCTGTCTGGGCCTTTGTGACCGTCTCAGACAGACAAGTGTCTCCCAACTTCAGGTAAGGTACACCTCCTTGTGATTGAAGCTGGTGCAGCAGCCATGATCCCGGTGACCACAAGGGGGCGGCCGAGACTACGCTACACACGTGGAGGTCAGTGGTGTCTTCCTCTATTGCCCTCTGCCTTCATTTTCTTTGTTAAACTTTATTCTGTGTGTGTGTGCGTGTGCGTGCGTGTGTGTGTGTGTGTGTGTGTGTGTCAGAGACAGAGGATCATCAGGCTTGTAAATCAAGTGCCTTAACCACTGAACCTTGTCACTGATCCCATCCTCCTATATTTTCTGAGAAAGACTTGTTCTGAACCTGAAGCTTGCCGTTTGGGGCTTGACTGGCTGGCCCCAATCTGCTGGCTCTACTTGCCCACACATGCCACCAGTGCTGGGCTTACAAGAACACATCACAATGCCCACCCCTATTTTCTGTGACAAGGCCTCATGTATCCCAGGTTGACATTAAATTCACTCTCCTGCAGCCAAAAATTACCAGGGTGCTGGGATTACAGGTGTGTACCACCATATCAGTTTGTGGGATGCTAGATACTGAACCCAGTGCTTCAGATAGGCTGGGCAAGCACTGTACCAAACAAGATGCAGCCCCAGCCTCCAGCACTTGCTATTAATAGTGGTTCTTTCTAGCCCTCGGGAGGCAGAGGTATAAGTATGCATATGTATATGTATGCATGTCTATGTATATATGTATGTGTGTATACATGCATACACATATTTATTATATATTTATATATATATATAATTTTATAGTTTTTTGTCTCTCATTCTCTGTGTGGCCCTGGCTATGCTGGAACTCACTCTGTAGACCAGGCTGGCCTCAACCTCACAGAGATCATCTCACCTGCCTTTGCCTTCCAAGTGCTGGGATTAAAGGCAAGCGCCACCACCTCCCATCTATTTTTTTTATGTTTATCTCTGTGTGTGCTTGCTTATATATGCACCACATGTGTGCAGGTGCCGTGCCCTTGGAGGTCAGAAGAGGACATCAGATCCCCAAGAATTGGAGTT